GACCATAGTGACCCAGTGTCACATATTTTAATGGCACTATATGGCTCCATGACATACTTCTCACATCAGTTGCTATCATACATTTTTAACTACACATACACTTCCCTTAACCTATCATTCACAAGTGAATGACTTCGGGGGGGAGTAGTGTAAGGATAGGTCCGAGGTGCCCACCTCGGACGTACTAAATAATTCTTCAACAATCGAAGTGAAAAGTAAACCCATCTGCATAATAGTTATCGTGAACAGGCACGCACCTGATTTCTTATGATAAGCTGTACAATAGTTATGGTGCGTACGCCCACACCTGAATATGTCTCAAATTCCCGGTCCCGAGTATCTCGCTTGGCAGGCCAACACGAGTTCTCCATTGGAACATATAAATACCCCTCAAGGGCCACCTCAGAAAGGTAATTGAAACCAACCCTAAGCTTTTCTTATCTCCGCCTTAAAAGTAGCTCCGATTATTGTTGACTTAAGCATCGGAGTGTCTACCCCGAGTTCCACCTCGGGGCTTTGCAGGTTATCTCGGAGCGCAAACGCGGACTGGAGAAGGACTTCTGGTTTGGTGCAATTATACTAATTCAAATATTTTAAGAATGGGAGGTGAATCATTAATACCAAAGTCTAATTCAAAATATACTAATTATTGTTTGTTATCATTTCATTTTGATTTCTGTACTTCGTGAAATTAGTAGGCAGTTCATTTTACCCCCCTTTTTTTATTGCTAATGTCAATTTTCATCCCTCTACTATCAAAAATAGTATTAATATTTAAAAAAGTAAAATTAGTAGGCAATTCATTTTAGCCCCCTTTTTTCTTTGTCTGGCATTAATTCAGAATATACTAGCTAGTGTTTGTTATCATTTTGATTTTTGATTTTTGAACTATTTTTGATAATAAATTTTGAGTGCTTTATTTTTAAAAATTTATTAATTGACTTAAATTTTCTAATTGAAAGTACAAGTTATGCACAACTTTTGAGTGCTTTATTTTTAAAAATTTTATTAATTGACTTAAATTTTCCTACATCTGCATTGCGGAGTACAAATTGCTACTGTTAAGTAGTACACGTAAGGTAAAGTCAACTCCATTTTTTTATTTTTGCTCTCTGTACTTCTCTTGTCTCCCTCAAAATAAGTTTGATTTTGTGTCAATTTCATAAATATTTTGATTTTTAAAAATATTTTAGCAGGTAAAAGTTTTAAGTTGACTAATGCTAATTGACGTAATTTTTGTAAAATTTTTATTTATTTTGTAAATACATTTTATTTAATTTATATTTTTTCTATTTATATGGAAAAATTTTTTATTCTTTTAAGGCTATTTTTGTAGTACTTATTTTTTTTACTTTATATATTTATGTGAAAACATTTTTTTAGTTTAATTTTAGAATTAAGAATTTTTTTAATTTACATCCTTATGGCACATGCATGTTAAAAGTATAATTATTATATTTTTTATATTAATTAATATT